TTGCAGATCGGCGTCCTCAATTGTTTTTGGTCTTCCGGAGCGCTCCTTGTCTTCAGTGTCGAAATCGCCACTTCTGAAACGTATAAACCAATCTTTACAGGTAGTTCTCGATGGTGCATGTTCGCCCTAGGCCTCCTCAAGCAAACGACGCGCTTCAGCTGCACTTTCTTTCAAGTCAAAGCAGGAAAGCAAAGCTTCCCATAAATGCTGTTTATTTGGTACAAAACTCGACATCTTCGTTGTTAGAAAAAAATATTTTTGCGTTGCAATATGTGTTGGTATTACGACTGGTTATTATTAACAGATGTCCAAGCTATAAAAAACACGACTTCAGACATGTATGTCGATTCGCCATCCATGTGTGAAACCCGGAAACTTAGTTGCGCACCTAGTATTACGGGAAATACGCCATTCTTTTGTATTTGATGCCTTGTCCACAACTAGACTAACAAGGGGAGGATGCATCGACCGGGAAACGGTTTGGAACGAAACTTACGGAGTTAATAGTACTTGACTACTAATAACTCATGGTAATAGCATACGATGCAATACCTCTTCGTTTTCGAGAAATAACGGTCTAAAGAAAAGAGCCAACAAAGTGTATGAGTTAGTAAGAAGGGTATTCAACGAAGCGGCGTAGCGCAGTAGCGAAGGTAACGGACCGAGCTGACGGCTGAGGTTCGACTGCTGTATGGTTCTTTTTATTCTGTAATCATAAAAATGAAATAGAAAACATTAATAAATAATAAAACTGCGTTTCTTAAATATATTAGTGTTTGTTAAATATATTATTAATGATTTAAATTGCAAAAAACCGTAAATCTTGTCTATAAAATATATAGTGTATGAGAAAATTTTTAAATCATAATTGCAATGGAAATAGGAATAAAAATATATTATATTTTCGCTGGAGGACTTTTTGATAATAATTCATTACTCTCGTAAATAGAATTCGCATATACGAGAACATTAGTGAATTCATCTTTAAAATTTTCATTTTCAAAAATCTTCATTTTCTTTCTTCTAGCGATTCTACATCAACTACTTTGCTTGTTGAAGGATTCTCTGATATTGTTATGATATATGTAATTTAAATATAATTACCGAACTGCTCTGTGTCACTAGTAAACGCACATTGCTGCTTGCTCTACTGACGACTATTCCGGCGCTCGAATCATTTTGTCATTCCTAACGATCGTTTAGAATGAAACAAAGGAAGTTTTTGGAGGGGGATTGCCAGAAGAGATAAAGAGCTTCAACACAACATAGAGAGTTGCAACAGAAACAAATATTTTATATATACGATATAAGATTACGAAAAATTATCTCATACTAGTTTAATAGCACTCCTACATATTTCATAACAATATTTTTATTCCTATTCCATTACAATTATTATATAAAAATTTTCTCATACACTATATATTTTATAGATAAGATTTACGGTTTTTTGCAATTTAAATCATTAATAATATATTTAACAAACACTAATATATTTAAGAAACGCAGTTTCATTATTTATTAATGTTTTCTGTTTCATTTTTATGCTTACAGAATAAAAAAAGAACTGTACAGCAGGAATCGAACCTCAGCCGTCAGCTCGCTAGTCCTCGTTACCTTTGCTGCTGCGCTACGCCGCATCGTTGAATACCCTTCTTACTAATTCGTACACTTTGTTGGCTCTTTTCTTTAGACCGTTTTTTCTCGAAAATGAAGAAGTATTGCGTCGTATGCTATTACCATGAGTTATTAGTAGTCAAGTACTACTAACTCCGTAAGTTTCGTTCCAAACCGCTTCCCGGTCGATGCGTCTTCCCCTTGTAAGTCACTTGGGACAGCAATAAATTCTTGCACTGATCTTCGTCTCTGAAAGTGCGGGCACAACACTGCCTCCCTCCTTCAAAATTCTTCCGACAATTCTGAGAGATTCCAGGGAACACGACTTTGTTCCTTTTAATCTGTAGTATTGACTCCGAGACATTAACTAACTTCTTGTTCTTTCCTGAGCTGCTGTTGAAGGTTATAACGTCATTCTTCCACATTCCAATCAGAATCCAACAGTCGCGATTTAGCCAGTATTTCATCGAAATTCATTCTTTCCGAGGTTAAATGTGTTAACTAACTGAATCGTCCAAAATGCTGATTGCATTGTGTATGTCTCATTGTAATCAATTATTATATCACTTAGTCGAGATTTGTTAACTTTGCGATACTGTTTATAAGGACAACTATTGGGATTCACGATTCAATCTTGATTTCTATCTAAGAATAACGAAGGAGTAGAGGACCATGAAAATAGTAGAATCAGAATATCTTCTGATATAGATTACTAACGATGATATGGATACAAACAAGACAATATGACAATTTTGATTTGAAAGTTTGCTCTTTATAATACAGAAACGAAAATGTTTGTAATTATTTGCGATTTAAGGGAACATAATTTTATCTGAGGGTAAATGTAATAACGACTGAAGAGGGCCAAATATATGACCGAAATGTTTGTCATTTTATTATAATATGACGATTACTAAATTTTTATTATATAATTTCATTGTAATATGAAGTTTACTAAATTTTTGTTATGCAAAAGAAATACACATTCATATCATGTGCAAGCTCTATTGGCCATTACTTAATTCCTATAAAATTATAATTTTATATTGATATCTCCTTTCCAAATAATAATTCTAGTTTTAAAATTATCCCTTAAACTCCTATTTTTTTAATCTTACGGCATTTTAAAATTGTACGCATTTTAAAATTATACATAACTTCCCACGTAAATTTGTCGCTAATGTTATACATTTAATATTTTCATTCCATCCATATGCTACCAAATAAAAGTTACGAAAGAAACTTCCATAACGGAATGGTTACATAAAAAAATATCTGGCTTTATTTTATATATATAACCAAAACTGTTGTTTCAAACTGTCTTCCGCTACTCTATTACTTACTCTATTACTTAAATGATTTAGATGTTACTGCTCCAAGAGATATAACAGTTCATTACGCAAACAAACCTCACATTCCACTAGCTGTTCTAGGCCACTTATTCCGGCCACTTCTGTTCTCGTTCCTGCCGTTCCTGTTCTCACTCCTTGCAGCTCATGTATTGCAGTGCATCCGTTTCCAGAATAGCTGCTGAAGTCTCGCTAAGCGTATAACATACGTTTACATGCAAGATATCAAATCCGACCGGATTACATAGTACATCTTGAATAATGTTAATGCTTGCGATACTTAAACATTGAACACTTACAACTCGGAAAGTTTTCGAAAAAAAGATTTATAACAGTGTTTATAATAATATTTCAGAGGCGTCTCAATGTCAGTTATAAAGATATGTTATGAAAAGTAAAGGTTTTCATTTATAAATATCTAATAGACTTTTGTAAACTTTATCATTTTTATTTTGTATATATGTATGTGAACATATCTTAAATAAATCAATAAATTAATATTTTCTGAGTTAATTTGCCGTTCAGAAATTTCTGGCTTGGGCGTATACGTGATCGTGTGCGTACGTGTGCGTGAGCGCGCGCACGCGTATGTACTAGGTGCGCAACTAAGTTTCCGGGTTTCACACATGGATGGCGCTAACGACACATGTAGTCAACATACATGTCTAAATTTGTGTTTTTTTTATAGCTTGGACATCTGTTAACAATAACCAGTCGTAATACGAACACATATTGTAACGCAAAAATATTTTTTTCTAACAACGAAGATGTCGAGTTTTGTGCCAAATAAACAGCATTTACGGGAAGCTTTGCATTCCTACTTTAACTTGAAAGAAAGTGCAGCTGAAGCACGTCGTTTGCTTGAGGAGGCCTACGGCGAATATGCACCATCGAAAACTACCTGTGAAAATTGGTTTAAACGCTTCAGAAATGGCGATTTCGACACTAAGGACAAGGAGCGCTCCGGAAGACCAAACACAATTGAGGACGTCGATCTGCAAGGGTTATTGGATGAAGATGATACGCAAACAAGATCAACTTGTGAAGGCATTAAACATGACTCGCCAAGGTATTTCCAAACGTTTATATGCCATAGGAAAAATTTAAAAGGAAGGGAAATGGGTGCCGCATGAGTTGACTGAGAGACAGATTGAAAATCGAAGAGCTACATCCGAAATTTTGCTTTTGCGGCGTGAAAGAAAGAGTTTCCTGCATCGAATTGTTACTGCCGATGAGAAGTAGTTATATTTCGAGAATCCCAAACGCAAAAAATCGTGGCTTTCACCTGGCGAAGCATCAACATCGACGGCACGGCCAAATCGCTTCGGAAAGAAGACAATGCTCTGCGTTTGGTGGGAACCAGAAAGGAATCGTGTACTATGAGCTACTCAAACCGGGCGAAACTGTCAATGGACATCGCTACCAACAACTGATCAATTTGAACCATGCATTGCTCGAAAAACGGCCAGAATGAGACACGAGACATGAACGAGTGATATTGCAGCACGACAACACTCCGTGTCATCGCACTTCCATCGTCTAGGACAACATCAAACTGCTGAAATGGGATTTGCTACCGCACCCACCATATTCGCCAGACCTGGCCCCTTCCGATTATCACTTGTTCCAGTCGATGGCGTATGGCTTGGCTGGGCAACACTTGGCCAATTTTGAAGAAGTGCAAAATTGGTTGGATGAACGGTTTCGGTCCAAAGACGCGTAATTTTATCATCGCGGTATTAATGTATTGCCAGAGAGATAGCAAAAATGTGTAGTTAGCTAGGGACGATACTTTGAATAAACCATTTTTTGTATTTCTTTTGAAATTTTCGATTTTTCATTGATCAAAAAAACCCGGAAACTTAGTTGCGCACCTAGTATATGTGTGTATATGAAATATGTTAAAACTTGTTATTAATTTTCTATACTAGAAAAACAATATATTTAAATGAAACTATTATGTGTTTATATTTGAGACATAATGTATGTAATATACTGATTCTACTTTATAACTTTATATTCTTTATGTTATAGATGATAGTTTGTCGGATGACGATACGAGAACAACTGCTTTGTCATATACGCAAAAAACAATAGCAACCGAAGAATATAATAAATTTCAACGGAAATCGAAGACTTCCAAAAAAGTAGCTCGACAAGCACAGTTAAAGAGGTAACAAATACAATTATAATATACAAGGTGTCTCATTTTAATTTTCGCATTAAAAAATCTCGAAAATTATGAAAGATATTAAAAAAGCTAAAAGACATTTTCTATGATTTCGAAAGGGAAAAGGAATGGCATTATTAATTTTTTATTTGGAGGGCATTTTCAAGGACAGTTGAAGGTCAACTAAATTTTTTTAAATAGGAAGCCCAATTTTTTATTATATCTTCTGTTTCTACCAATTAATTTTAACAACTTTTGTCTGAAACATTTTTTATTTGCCTAATATTTTTTGAAATATTTAAGGGAAACTTGGCAACTTTTTGAACATTTAACTTACGATATTTCATTAACTATTCGTCGAAAGAAAAAATAATATTAGACTTTTTTACTTTATTTACTATCAAGAATATATTACTATAATAGTGCCCTAACTTTTGTTAATTTAATAATTTTGAAATTTCCAAAGGTCGATAAGTTAACAAAAGTTAGGGCACTATTATAGTAATATATTCTTGATAGTAAATAAAGTAAAAAGGTCTAATACTATTTTTCTTTCGACAAATAATTAACGAGATATCGTAAGATAAATGTTGGAAAAGTTACCAAGTTTTTCTTAAATATTTCAAAAAATATTAGACGAATAAAAAAATGTTTCAGACAAAAGTTGTTAAAATTTATTGGTAAAAAAGAAGATATAATAGAAAGTTGGGTTTTCTATTTTAAAAAATTAAGTTGACCTTCAACTGACCTCGAAAATTCCCTCCAAATAAAAAACTGATAATGCCATTCTCTTTCGCCTTCGAAATCATGGAAAACGTGTTTCAGCTTTTTTTTAATATCTTTCATAGTTTTCGAGATTTTTTAATGCGAAAATTAAAATGGGACAATTTGTATATAAAACGATTAAGAAGACTACATAACAAATTACACTTTATAAAAGAAGCAAATTCGCAAGAAGATAATTGGTATGTTTGTGCAATAATTGATTTGTTATTGTATTACACTATTAAAAATAAGAGTATAAGTTCTTTTATAGTAAATAATATACACTACATTGACAGGAAAGGATAAGAAAATCACAAATTAAAGAAGTTGATATATCAGATGTAGTAAAAAGAAATCCATTATTTTTGCATGAAATTGAAGGCTTTAATTACCATAGTTAGAATGATCCGATTTAGGTCAAATATGCGCCGTTTTGTTCGATAACTTGTTGCCATTTTGAAGGTAATTTCATTATGCCTCTCTCATAGAAGCCCTCGTCTCTATTGGCAAAAAATTGAGACAGTCGATTTTCACAAGCCTCTCTTGAAGCGAATTTTTCACCAGCAAAATTGTTCGCCATGGACAGGAACAGATGGTAATCACTTGGTGCCAGGTCCGGACTATAAGGTGGATGCATAAGAACCTTCCAACCAAGCTCCCGGAGCTTCTGGCGAGTCACTATCGATGTGTGTGGCCTGGCGTTGTTCTGATGGAACACAATTCCTCTCCTATTGGCCAAAGCTGGCCGTTTCTGGGCGATTGCTTCCTTCAGACGGTCCAATTGTTGACAGTACAGTTCCGAGTTAAGAGTTTTGCCGTAGAGGAGCAGCTCATAGTAGATAATTCCCTGCCAATCCCACCAAACACACAGCAAAACCTTTCTGGCCGTCAATCCTGGCTTGGCCACCGTTTCCGCCGGCTCACCGCGATTCGACCACGACCGTTTTCGCTTGACGTTGTCGTAAGTGATCCACTTTTCATCACCAGTGACCAACCGCTTCAGAAATGGGACGATTTTGTTGCGATTCAGCAGCGATTCGCAGATGGAAATTCGGTCCATGAGATCTTTTTTCGTTAACTCGTGTGGCACCCATACATCGAGCTTCTTTTTGTATCCAGCCTTATTCAAATGGTTCCAAACGGTTTTTGTGCAATCTTTAGCTCTTGGGCAATCGAAACAGTGCTTACATGACGGTCGGACTCGACAATGTCCATGATTTTATCGATATTTTCGACAATTGGCCTTCCAGCGCGTGGTGCATCTTTGACATCGAAATTACCGGAACGGAATCGACGAAACCAAAATTGCGCGTGATTGGCTGTTACAGTATCAGGACCATAAACACTATTCACATTTTCAGCCGCCTGGCTTGCGTTTTCGCCTTTATCGAAGAAAAACTGTAAAATATAGCCTATTTTTTCTTTGTTAGTGTCCATTTTTGACGCGCGCTCAAACAAAACTGAGTCAACTAATCACAAAACTGTCAGAAAAGTTTTTTTAGTACGAAATCTCATCTTTTTAACGCCATCTAGTGGAACCCGATCGGACTTATACAACGCGAGATGCAGATAACTAAAGCCGTCTATTGAAAAAATAATGGATTTCTTTTTACTACACCTAATATATATGTAATAATATATTTGAATATACATTGACATATTTAATATACATTGACATATTTAAATAAGTTTAACATTCATATATATATATACATATATATAAATTTAATAAATATGTGTATATACAGGATGTATAAAAAGTACCGGGATCGTAAAATATCACAAAAACTAAGCATTTTAGAAAAAAATGTTTCAAATAAAAATTGTAGGGTTTCAAAAGATCTATTTACTGAAATTATGAATTTGACCTTGGGTGGCATCGCCAAGGTCAGAACAAAGTGTCATCTTGAATTTTTTAAATGGGACCTCCTATTTTTTGTTGCATATTCTTATAGTTCTTCTTCAGACATTTTCAAAGCACTGTAACTTTTTCAACTTTGAGTAAGCCGTTTCGAAGTTATCAAGCTTTTCATGATAAGATGTCCAGCCAGCGGTTAGAGCAATTTCATGACTTGTATTTCAGACATATGTAATCTTAAAATAATACTACCGTACTAAATTAAAAACAGCACTAACATTCACCTTCGAATCATTTCAAATCAATTGCAATGAATTTGACTTGAAGTAGAACACATTACTTGATACGTGTTGTTTCAAACGGAAAAGATAAATGGTTTTTCTTACTAATTTTTCTTTCTTTAATTGAATTATCGATTTTGTTATCTAATTAATATAAATTTCTGTTTATTAGATAAGTCTTTTTGTTTCCTAGCTTATTCGTTAGACTTTACTTTTTCTTTTAGAGATTAAAATTATTCTCAAACGCTTTTGTAAGAATTTTCTATATTTTGCTTATTTCTATATATTTTTTCCATTTAGTTCATTTTAAAGTATTACTGATAGTTATTCATTCGTGTCAAAATTTCCATCTCGATAATTTTCATCAATTAAAATGCAACACCTTACCAAACGCAACAGAATATCTGTCTTGATGATGAGGAGCTGAGATGATAGATTAAGATCGTATCAAGATGTAAAGGATCTTTACAATGTAACTTTTCGAGATGAGAATAGCCCTATTTCGAAATCCACTGTTGAAAGAACTGTAAGGTGGTTTAAAGAAACAGGAAGCGTTAAAAGTCGTCTTTTAACAGGAAGGCTTGCCGCAGCAACAAATGAAAAAAAAATACTGGATGTTTTATGATCATTCATAGAGAATCCACAAACTTCTGTCTGCAGAACTGCTCAAGAACATAAGATAAACCCTATGTCTATGCATAAGATATTAAAAAGGAATAAATTTCGTTCTTACAAGATACGACTTGTTCAAGAGCTAAATGAAAATGATTTTCATCGACGTGTTCAATTCTGAAACTATGATAACAGAAATAGATGCAAAACCTGACTTTTTATCTAATATAGTCTTCTTAGATGAAGCAACGTTTCAATTAAACAGTATTGTTAATAGACATAATTGCAAATTATGGTCAGATACGAATCCTCACTGGATAAAAGAACACAATACGCAATATCCATAGAAATTGAACGTTTGGACAAGAATATTAAATAACAGATTGATAGAACCATTCTTTATTGATAGCCCATTCATATGATGACATGCTGAGAAATTAAATCGTCCCTGCAATCAACGCGATCATTGGTAAAAACTTTCAACAGGTGTGGTTTCAACAGGGTGGTACACTACTGTATTATGGACGAAACGTTCGTATTTATTTATCGTATTTATTTAGATACAATTTTTCTTGAACGGTGAATAGGGAGGAGAGGCATGATCGAATGGCTAGCTCGGTCAACGGATTTTATACCTCTTGATTACTTTCTCTGGGGTTATCTAAAAGATTAAGTATACAAAACTAAATTTCAAAATCTAAATGATCTACGAGATCGGATTCTTGATGAAGCGGTACTTATACTTAACGAATACATAGAAGGTGCTGCTTCAAGTTTCTATCATTGATTAGAACATTGTCAAACAACAAATGGTGAACAATTTGAGCATTTGATACATTAATCGCTTTTTCAATTGCTAGTTTTCCTTTATGTCCATCTTGCCTTAACTGGCTGGATACTTCTTTGATCTTGCCTTGGCTGGCAGAGTATTTCTTTGATCTTGCTTTGGTTGGCTGGATACTTCTTCGATCTTGCCTTGGCTGGCTGGATACTTCTTTGCTCTTGCCTTGGTTGACAGGATACTTCTTTGGTGTTGCCTTGGCTGGCTGGGTACTTCTTTGATCTTACAAGGGGAGAACGCACCGACTAGGAAACGGTTTGGAACGAAACTTACGAAATTAATAGTACTTGACTACTAATAACTCATGGTAATAGCATACGACACAATACTTCTTCGTTTTCGAGAAAAAACGGTCTAAAGAAAAGAGCCAACAAAGTACGAGTTAGTAAGAAGGGTATTCAACAAAGCGGCGCACAGTGGGACAGATAGGTCTTTTTGTGGACAAAAATCGCTAGACAGCATAATTCTTAACCGATTTCCATGTTTTTTTTTTAATTTACTCGCGATGAATTGCTCTACAATCGTATCGAATACGTTTCTTAAATTAGGCCTTCAATTCAAAATGGCGGACGCGCAAATTTGTCAAATGTATAAAACCTGTAAAATATCGAATATTTTTGGATTGGATAAAGTTGATATGGAATTT